CGCAGCGCCTTCTCCCGCTCGTACTGCGTGAGGAGCTGCTCGTTGTCGTCCCGCAGCAGCTCCAGCTCCACGCTGGTCTCCTGGCTGTGGGCGCACACCGAATCCAGGTTCTCCAGCACGGCCACCACCAGCGGCATCAGCTCAGCCACCACCTCCTCGTCGTAGCGCCCGATGAGCCGCTCGAATTCGCGGTAGATGGAGCCCGCCAGCCCCGACACCCGCTCCGACATCATGGCGGGGCCGGGGCCGCCGGGGTCCTCCTGGTACACCACGCCGTCCGCCAGCTCCATGGCGAGCGCCCGGCCTCAGGCGGCGGCGGCGCGCGGCGGGGCCTCGGCTGCGGCCGGGCCGAGGGAGGAACGGAGACAGGCGGGGGGGCGGAGAGCGGCGGCGGCGGCGCGCAGCACTGACCTCACCGCCGCGCCGGGCCGGGCGGGGCCGCTCGTCACGTGGCGGGGGCGGGGCCCGGCGGTGAGGTCACGCGGGCGGGGCTGGGCGGGAAGCGGGGATCGGCTGAGGGTGATCGCGTGGGCGGGGCTGGGCGGGAAGGCGGCCGGGGGCGGGGCTGGGCGCAGTGCGGGTTGGCGCTTGTTGTGAGGGGGCCGCTTTGCGGCCGTGAGTGTTGGGGCGTCACGTAACGCAGCGCGGGGCGTAAACGCATCGAGTGATTCACCTAGGGATGACTGACGTGGCTAAAACTAGTTTTCAGGGCTTAGCGGCACTGAAACGACGCTGCGTTCGCTGTTTTCGAATCCCTGATAGGAAAAAAAAAAAAAAAAAGGCCTTGTATTCTGATAAATTAATATCGGAAATCCAAACTGTTAGCAGGAACCTTCAGTGGAAAGCAAGGTCGCGCTTGCTGATAGAGATGGATTTCGTGGGATTTGGGGTGGTGAGTTCTGTGCTTTCTCAAGGGAATGCTGCCAGCTATTTCTGGCATTCGTTGTAAACTGGAAAGCATCTACAGCGACGTGACAGCGTTAGAGATCTCCGTGTTCACAATACAATCCACCGCTGCGGAAACGGCTGCCTTCCCTCAGGAAAATATCTTGCGTGTCACGGAGGGCGCCGGACGTGCGGCGGTGAGGAGCGCCGCGCCGCGCTGTGGTGGCCGCAGTGATTCCCGCTGCCATTCAGCAGAGCGGCGCGCTGTGCGCCCTCCTGGGCCGGCCGGCACGGCGCAGCTCCGCACCGCACGGAGCGCACAGGGCGCTGCATGCAGGGGATGGGCGCGGATTTCTGTCCCTGTGTTGGATTCGCGTGTGATTCGCGATGGACTCGCAATGTCGGTGCTCAGACATCACTGATACTTCACATGGAAGTGAAACCGGCATTGAACGTGCCGCAGCCGGGGCAGCTGAGAAAAGACGCGATGTATGCTGCCCTGCTCACATCTCTTCACGGGAAATTTTCATTTACATTTCTGGAAATTGCCTCTTTGATGTCGTTTCGCATTTCTCTTTAGCAGTCGTGCACTGAGAGAACGGCAGCTCCTCCCTGCTGGCTGGCAGGCCAGCTGCTATGGACAGCAGCCCTCTGATACTGCCTGCCCAGGGGAGCTGGCTGAGAAAACCTCTCTCCTTCCACATCACGCATGGTTTCACATTTACTCCAGTTGTTGGTATTGAGGAAGACGCTGAGAATTTGGAATGGGTGTTATTGCCTTATGTTTGCTGTTTTTTCCTTCCTTAAAGTGATCCTGAATAAGCCTTGCAGGAGGAACGCAGGCAGTTGAGAGGTAGCCCCTTTGGCTCTACCTGTTGGAAGGTCAATCCAATAGTGGGGATCTTCCAAGCTAGACCTCACTGCACTGTTCAGCATTGCTTCTGCGTGATGTGGACAGCTATAAACACCCACAGATGATTGTGAGGATAACAGTACCAATGGAATTGCTGCAAAGACTCTTCTGTCTGTATAGTTTTAGCAGCATTGCCATCATACTTGGCTAATTACACAAATACATTAACTCCTTTTGGCAGAGAGCAAAAGTGGGTCAAGGTGTCTGCTGACAGCCTTTAAGGGAAGGGGTCTCTAAGGATATACTATTTTTATCCTCTTTCTATTAGCAAAGTTGATAGATGTGGTTTTATTTTCAAGTAGCTGGAGTGAGTCCATCCCAGAGCAGGCAGGCTGCTACCACTGCAGTCAGACGAGGAGCACAGGGAGAAGGGGCTGTTTGTGCTCCTGTTTTATTTCTGGTCACCTGGAAGTTTTCTACTGCAGATAAACGAAGTATTTAAAAATACGAAATTTTAAAAATACGAAGCAAAACTACTTGGGGCAAAATGCAGGTGGCATAGGGATCTTGTTGGCAGTCTTACTATTTCTGATCATGTTTTATCATGCACACAATCAGTGTGAGATCGGAAAATTGGGGATGTATTAAAAATGGAGCAAGACTTGGAATTGTATCCTAGTTGCTTGCCAGCAAGTTAAGAAACATGGAAGGCCCCATCAGTTTAGTTAACTAATGGAGCATATGAAACAGCACGGAGGTGTTGCTCTTGTTACCTGAAAGCAGTGACAGCATGAGTAGAATGCAGTTCACACTCGTGGAGAAAGAACTCCTTGAAAAAGAAATTTTGTTTTGGATAATAAAATTATATTCCACATCTCTAGAAATAAGTTTCTTTGAAAGTAAATTGATTTTGATTTACCAGGGAAGACAAATCAGTTTGGGATAAGAAGAACTTAGCTGGGACTTTATCCAGAGGAAGAAATTAATTCTACAGTCCTTTTTTGTCTTAAAGCACCACGGGGTTCAAGCGAGAATCGGGTGAAGGATTATGGCTGAAATAATCAGACAATAGCAGTAAGCTCAATGGAGGGCAGTCAATGGAGGCTGGCAGTGGGGAGCAACAGGGCACAGCACAAAATGTAAGGTGGGGGAGAACTCCCAGATTTGGGGTGGTATGGAAGCAGGATTTCAGCCGAGATCTTCACAGAGCTGTGCACAGAACGAGGCTGGGAGCTGCGTGCAGATCCTCCTGAAGGTTGGAGCCGTTCACAGGCTGTTACCTCCGGCTTATTTAAAAGCCCTGGTTTTAGGTGAGTGAACAGCTGGGGCTCAGTGATGGTTATTTCACTCATTCATTCAAACTCTGTTGACTGAACGCTTCGAAGTCTCCTTTCTCTCACCTCTCTGCTTGGCTGGGCTGCCTGGGGCAGGGCAGTGGTACATGAATAACAGTTCTGTGGTGTTTTATGCACTACATAATGAACAACGTGTGCTGCTCACCACGGACTAGCTCAGAAGTGCCGAAGACGACCCCTATTTAATGAGGGTACGAGGCTTGGCAGGGGCCACACGCAGCGCTGGGCTGAAGCTGCCGCCTGCATTGCCCACCCCATGGCAGCCCTCTGCGTCTATCGCCCGGCAGCTGGGCTGTAAGCGGCTGCCTGCTGCTGCCTTTGCCTATATTTGCCAGTTCGTGGGGATCTTTTCTGTTTCTAAATACTGCTCTGCCTTTGAGAGGACTACAGCGTTAGGAGCTGTAACAGCAGTGTGAAATGTCTAAAAAAAAAAGGTCTATATATCAACAGAACGTAAGCGGAAAAACCGTTCGCTTTCAGGCAGGCCCGCGGAGCACAGCCCGAGCATCCGCGCCGCTCCACGCGCTGCTTTCAGCCGCGGGAGCAGCGGGCTGCCGGCAGACCCGACGCGCCGAGCGCCCCCTGCTGGCGGGAGGCCGCGCCGTCGCCATGGCAACCGTGCGGGCTGGATGGCCCGGGGGCGGCCCGGGGTTAAGCCGGGCTGGACGGCCGCGGCAGCGCCAGAGCTGTGCGGGGCTGCCAGCAGGTGAGACGGAGCGGCGCGGAGCGGGACGAGGAGCGGGGCCTGCCCGGGCTGGGCGGGGTCTGGCTGTGCTCGCGCGTTTACCTGTGTGCAGGTGTGTGTGCACGTGTGTGTGCTGTGCTTGAGCGAGCTGTGCGCCGAAACTGGAGAGCAGCCATTGACAGATGAAAATGATGTTTATGGATTGATATTTTGCCCTGAATCGCAGCCAGCAGTCCCTCCGTGGTCCTTTGTTTTTGTTTTATTTACAGCTCTTCTGCTCTTCGCGTTTGCTAATTGCACGGTTCTGTATTTTGCAAGCTTACTGTTGCCTAGTTACTTCTGTAGCATTGTGCCCATCGTGCAGATCGACCTTCAGGTGCTGCCGATGTGCACAGCTCGCCAGGTAAGAACTTCAGGTCTAATGATTGCAGCAGAACACCAGACCGGGGCTGGGGCTGCGCTTGCTGCTGACCCCGTGACGGTGGCTGCCCCTGGCCAGGACCATGGCTTCCATCTCAGAGCGCACCTTCATTGCCATCAAGCCTGACGGCGTGCAGCGGGGGCTGGTGGGAGAAATCATCCGGCGCTTCGAGCAGAAGGGTTTCAAGCTGGTGGCCATGAAGCTGACACATGTGAGCTGTCCTTCTCTTGTGTTCTTAATAGGAATATCAACCTGAAAACAGAGCAGCAATGATAAAGAGGAGTGCTCAGAAGAGTTAAACCTGGAATTCTGATAAGTCTTTGGGTGTTTTGGAGAAGTTCCAGTTGCCAGCTCTGGCTAAATGCTTTAGACATGCTAAGCACGCTAATTTTAGTAACTTGATGTCCTTAGTCTGAGGAGAACATTCTTGTAGGTGCACCCTATTCTCAATTGATATCTCTGGATATATTCAACAAATGCCAGGTCACATAAGCTACCTGCATTGGCAATGGAGACCTTCAGAAGTTCAGATATAGCTAAGGCCAACAATTGAAACCCACATTTACTAACAGTTCTAGGAACTTAGTAGAAATGCTGATTTCGAAGTGTGCGTTTGCAGCTAACCTACGTGATTACAGCACACTCTTACAGAAAGCTTTCTGTTGTTGTGGGGGTTTTTGATTATTTGTTTTTTAATGCAGGCCTCTGAGGACCTTCTGAGGGAGCACTACATCGACCTCAAGGACCGCCCGTTCTACGACGGCCTGGTGCACTACATGCACTCCGGGCCTGTTGTAGCTATGGTGAGTCCTTACCAATGGCGTTTAGCCGAGGAAAACATGGCGCTCAGCTGCCTCACATAGAGGCCTGTGTTACCTACTGGATACTAGCTTACCTTTAACAGAGATTTTAGAAACTTAGATTTAAACAATGTGGCTAGGAAGCATAATCAGGAAGATGCACTGCAAAGTCAGTTTAAAAAAACATATGTTTTTCCATAGTCTTTCTCACAATTGAAACAATGTGTTGAGGAAGAGGGCAAGGGGAAATTGAGAACCAAAGGTGAGAGAGTAAAGCTGCACGAAAAATCCACTATGGAATAGCATGTGTTAATCAAGCAGAGAACCGATGGTAAAATAGACATTACTTTCAAGTTAAAGTAACTTTGAAAACCTTGTTTAGTCTAATTTTATTAGAAGGAGTTTTTTCCTTTATGATGTAGTTGTGAAATAATTGAACTGGATGTCAAGATCCTCAGTGAGCAGAAAGCTTTTCTGGAAGAGTGCTTCACAGCCTGAGAGTCAAAGTCATTCTCTTCCCATGAGCATTGCAGATGGGTACTGGGAATCTCAGAAAAACTGGAGATAAATAAGCCTTGCTGTTAGGATGGTGGTTTGTGCAGTGATGGACAGCACTGCGTTGTTCTGGAACACATTATTAACTCTACTTCGTCTACAGATAAGATTTTATCATCTTAATGCATTTTTTTTCCCCAAGGTGTGGGAGGGTCTTAATGTGATTAAGACTGGAAGAGTGATGCTGGGGGAAACTAATCCCATGGATTCCAAGCCCGGCACTATTCGTGGCGACCTCTGTGTGCAAGTCGGAAGGTATATCTGCACAGCACTGATAGCACCTGAAGATAGGGCAGCGCAGCGGTGTCACGGCGTGGCAGAGCTGTGCTGCAGGCTGCCCGCCCTGGGGCACTGTGGCAGCGTCCAGAGATGGAGAGAAGGCTGCAGTGCTCTCAGTGACAGAAGCGCTGAGCAAAGCTGGCACAGCCTGCCTGCTGCTGCCTTACCGTTACGTACAGCTTCTGCGTGCAGCGGAGACCACTTAAAGACGGAGTGTTCTTTGCTTTCAGGTTGGAGATTACATTGCTTTTGTATCAATCTTTTCCTAGGAACATCATCCATGGGAGCGATTCTCTAGAAAGCGCCGAGGCAGAGATCAACCTGTGGTTCACTCCTGAAGAACTGGTTGACTACAGGAGCTGCGCTCACGAATGGATCTACGAGTAGAACTGAGGCGGCCTTTGGTCTCGTGGCTCCAGTTAGCTCCAGTCCTCCACACCACCTCCTCAAACCTGCTTCACAAACCTGCCACGTGCTCCGCTGTGAACGCTGATCGGTGGTTGCTGTTGCTTTGGTTAGAAAACTACCGAGCTGTAGATAGCAACGTGCTTTAAAAAGCGTCTCGGATGTTCATGCGGGTGATAGAGGTGAAATTAAATGGTAGAGAAGCAAAACGTTCCTCGTTAATAACACAGAAGGCGGCTTCACGAAACGCTTCGCAGCTGCAGGGAGGCAGAGAGGAGCGCGGGCGGGGCGGGGCGGGGGGCAGCGCGGGGTGCCGCGGGGCTGCTGGGCTGCGCGGGGCGGCGCTGCGAGCGGGGGGGGGGGGCCCACGGGGCGTCCAGGCGAGGGGACGCTCAGAGCCAAAGCAGCTACGGGAAAAGAAACCTCTTTATTTCTCATTCCAAAACGTGCTGTGCCTGCATGCAGAGCTCAGTGAAATGGCAACTTGCCTCCAGATTGACGTGCTTTCTTTATTTATGCACCGGATTTATGTAGCGTTTTAAGGAAGGATTATAGGTCAGGCTTTTTGAAACCCCCTTTTTATGTGAAAAGAAGATTTAATATGAGAACGGATGAATGTGATCCACTTTCAGCCAGGAAGCACACGGGGAAAAATGGGATGGAGTCTGCTTTGCTGCCCAAACTGCTAACAGCTGTGATGGCTCTGCCTGTGATGGCTGCACGTCCAGCAGCCTGCTTTGGGATGAGGTGTTTCAGAAGCGACTCCAGAATTGTTTTTTATTTAATCGTGTAAAGAAATCCATCCACAATGATGCTGAGCATCTTTCAGTAGGGACGGCTGCTCCTGCTGGGGAGAGCATCAGGCAGCAAGCATTCACTGACTGCATGGGTGTCGATGCCATTTATCAGCTCATTTATCCACAAATGAGTTTATCGTAGCATTCCTTAAAAGCAGCACTCGTGTGTCAGTAGTTGTTTGCACTCCGCAGCGCTCAATTATTTCAAATACTGAAGCACCATGGAACTGAGATCATCTCTCTATGGTCATGGAGGCGCTGAGTCCCGCAGAGGAGATGCTCCAAAGTAAATGTCTGCCTTTTCTTACGTGAAATAAAGGGTTATTTTCATCACACTGCCTTAGGGCTAATTAATTAATGAGTCTAATGAGCGGGAACAGATTAGGTACCAAAGTGCGGGTGAGGCCGTCAGGCTCTCGTGCCGACACGCGGTGCTGCACGAGGTGCGTGATGAAGCTAAATATCCTGCATCACTTCGCTTCTCACTATGGGGGGAAAAAAAACAACATTTTGTCACCTGGCTGCTATTCGCTGCTATTACCGCGCTGTCCATCCCCGAGCTCCGCTTTTCATCCCTCATTTTCACCGCAGAGCGCAGCGCTGACTGCAGCCACCGCCGCAAAGCCGCAGCGCCCGTCCCCGCGCACGGCCGCATTGCAGCCGCCCCTCCGCCCCTCCCTCGCGCAGGGCGGCTTCCGGCGCACGGCCGCCTCCCCCTCCTCTTCTTCCTCCTCCTCCTCCTCCTCTTTCTTCGGCGGCTGCGGAGCTGCGGGAGGTGAGCGCGGCGCTGCGTCGGGTCGGCGCGGCGGGAGGGGATCCGAGCGGGGCGGGCGGTTCTGTGCGGGCATCGGCCCGGGGGGGGACGGGATGGGAGCGGGGCGGGGCAGTGCGGGGCCGTGCGGGGCAGTGCGGGCCGGGCGCCACGTGGGCCGTGCGGCGCAATGGCGGAGGGGCCGCGGGCCGACCTTGAGCCGGGGGGGCTCCGATTGAGGCTGTGCGCTTTTGTTCCGCAGCGCCATGGCTGCCAACTGCGAGCGCACCTTCATCGCCATCAAGCCCGACGGCGTGCAGCGGGGGCTGGTGGGAGAAATCATCAAGCGCTTCGAGCAGAAGGGCTTCCGCCTGGTGGCCATGAAGTTCGTGCACGTAAGTCGAGGCCGGAACTGCCGGCCGAGCCCTGCGCTTTCTTTCCGTCGCCCCCGCGGGCCCTGGGACACGAGTCCGTCCCGGCGGCCTTTCGCGCTCCCGACGTCGAGTAGCGCAGCGGCGGCCCGAGCGAACCGGGCGGCCATCGGCGCTCCACCGGCCCGAAGCGGCGAGCGGCACCGCGGGGTCAGCGGGGGGGGGGGAGAGGAGCCAAGCCGGAACCGCTGTGCCCCATCGCCACCCCGCGAGGAGAACGGCTGCTGCAGTGCCGGTGGCGTTACGGGGCGCTGAAAACAGCCGCGGGTGCTAAATCTTACAGCGGTGACCCCTTGGTGGGATGGGGTGGGGGCTGCCCTACTGACATACTCCCTTCGTCCTCCCGCAGGCCTCTGAGGACCTTCTCAAGCAGCATTACATCGACCTGAAGGATCGGCCCTTCTACCCCGGCCTGGTGAAGTACATGAACTCCGGCCCCGTTGTGGCCATGGTAGGCAGCATGCATGTACTGAGGGAAAGCTTCCTCAGATCTGTGAAAGATGCGCGCTTAAAGTTCCTGCTGAAATGCTTCCCCTGTGTTAAGATTCCCCAAAACTTATTTTCTGCACAAAAAAAACCCCTTAAAGTTTGGGGGTAAAAAAAGGAGAGAAGGCGAGGGTCACTGTCCCATAGAAACCCACCTGAAGGGGTTTCTGTTTTGTGGTGAAGCCCTCACCTTGGACCAGCTGTCACTGCGCAAGGTGTGCAATTCTGCATAAGCATGGACTGATGTTGGTTTGCTGTCTTTTCTCCCCTGTAGGTGTGGGAGGGGCTCAATGTGGTTAAAACAGGCAGAGTGATGCTGGGGGAAACCAACCCTGCGGACTCGAAGCCCGGCACCATCCGTGGGGATTTCTGCATCCAAGTGGGAAGGTTGGTGCTCAGCTGCTTCTCTATAGAGATCACACTTAGCAGGGGTAGGGAAATCAAACTGCTGGTGGCTAACCTGGTCTGATGGGGTTTTATTTGCAGGCTGCAGCCTATAACAACCACTTAGGACAATGGCTGGGTACAAAACCTCTTAAAATTCAGCTGCGTGGCAGAGCTCCATGTAAGATCAAGCAGTGGCTGCTGCAGTAGCATAGCCCCATGCCCCCACCCTGCTGGGTGTAGTGAGCAGAGCTTATAGTGGAGCTGTGCAAGTGCTGTACCTGGGATAAGGGTTGTAGCTTTAGGTGCTTCATCCCCACTTCTTCCATATGGCGTTTCCACTTGTAGAGTTTTTTTCTTTATATTAAACAACGTTGCATTGGTCCACAGAAACATCATCCATGGCAGCGACTCTGTAGAAAGTGCCCAGAAGGAGATCAACCTTTGGTTCAAACCAGCGGAGCTCATCGACTACAGATCGTGTGCACATGATTGGATCTATGAGTGATGCCAGTTTCCACAATGAATTGTGCCTTCTGACTCTCATCTCACTCCAGCTAACAATCTGGGAGCAATTAGCACAGCGGTTATCTTGATGACTTTTCAGAACCATCAAAAATAAATGGATGATATAAATGAACTGCTTATGGTGTGTTCATTCTAGAACAGACCTGTTGCGCTGAACTCAGTGCGGTGCGAGGAGCGCTCGGTTTTCCTTGCAGAAGGAAGAGCTGTGTTTCAATACAAGCTTCTCCACCTGGGTGAACGGGGAGGGAAGGGATGCTGCATCTCCTGGCACAGAACTGCACTGGAAGGAAAACCCAACGCTCCCCCATGGCAATTTCCAGCGCACTGTGCAGCTATTAACAGCAGCTGTGAAACCTAAGGCCAGGAGTAAAACCTGCGTTGCATAAAGCCTCCACCTGACACTGCATGGCTCACACAAACGCCTTCCCTACCCCCTGCTTGCAGGCTGCTCAGCTGAGCCCTCACAGCACCTCCGGGCTGTAAGAAGCTCCTGGGTCTGCACTGTGAGGGAAGGAAGGAGCTGCAGTACAGCTCTGTGCCAAGGAGCAGCTCTTCAAGGAAACGACATTCAAGAACTGACTTGTAACGTTTTTATTTTGTGTAAAAAAGGCAAATTTAGTGAATTATTTTCATCTTGTACACAAAGTTATAATTTTAATGCTTTTCACATCCATGCTGAAAATCTGCGGTCTCATAAAAATGAAAGTAACATTTAATTTCTCCAAAAGCATTTTTTCCACTTATGTACATTGCATGAGAAAGTCTTAAATACTCTCTCATTGACCACACAAGTTACCAAGAAAATAAAAGATAAATTTGTACAGATATTGATTTATATATCAAATACATACAGAAATGATGTAAAAACCCCATTTGTTTCACCTCCATTCCTGCCCCAACGTTTCCCCAGGGCCGGAGCTGACGCCCATGTGTATAAATGGCTGTGGCTTTAAATATGAAAATTAAAAGGAAGAAAAATTCAGTTTAAATCACAGTTTTTAAAAATCCCTTCCCAATAAAGGATTGTTACCAAATATATTAGCACCATTGTACAAATATTGACAGGAGAGGGTATTCACATCACATAAAACAACAAGAATAACAAACAAACACTGAAACCCGTGTTAGTATCCGTAGAACAAAGAGTTGATAACCGCCTTTGCTTCCTCAGGTGCAGCAAGGAAAGGGTTTGAGCTGTGTTCAAATGACAGAACTCAAAGACCACCAGGAGGGTTCCAGCAACAGAGGGGAGCTGCACGGCACGGCGTCCTGCTTTGCCAAATGCTGCCAGCCTGACCCCAGCAAAAGCTCCGCATCGGACACTGCTCTGCCTTCCGCCCACCAGGCTGCTCAGAGCAAAGCCAAGGACAGCAGAAGCATTCTGCTGCTGATGCTTCCATGCACAGCAAAGCCTATGTCATGGGTTCCAGCAGGGACCTGCAACCCACAGCCAAAGAGACATCATCCTCTGAACACCTCGTGGATTTGCTCAGGTGTCCAGAAACCTCCCGAGGCAACGACCCGAATCCCTGACGGCTTTGCTTAGGACAGATTCCAGCACAGCTGACAATGAACAACGCCGGTATCTTCTGAGTACGGACACAAACGTCACTCCTGCCTCAACACAACTCCGACAGAGTCCCGTGCACACCAGAACGCAGGGCAGCTCACACGTAGTGTTTGATCAAAGGAAACTTGTTTTTAAAGAACACTTTAAAGACCGACAGACTTCCAACCCCATTCCTACGTTTCTCCAGCACAGGAGATGCGTTCAAAGTGCCATCTTTGCCTCTCAGCAGTCTGAGCTCACAGGTCGGCCATGCCTGGGAAGCCAGGCTCTGACCTGGGCAATGCATGGGAGCCCAAGGTTTCCTGGCTTGGCAACATCCCTTGCCATCATAGCCCAAATTTCACATCAAGAAACAAATTAATGCATGTTTTTCTACTGTACTGAAAAGCAGCTGATGAGAGAAGAAAGCAAGGATGTGCCCAACTCATTCCAGCTGCCAGTGGCAATTTGGAAGTTGTCACATCAAAAAACATGAATAAAATCAACAGCGATGTACTTACCAAATCAAATCAATGTTTGCAGAACTGGATTTTATGGCAGCATAAATGAAGAGCATAGGAAAAATAATAAAATTAAGGTTCAAAACATCATTAACAATGGTCTCTAAACCTACTCCTCCAACTCAGGGTGATCAGAAGAAATGCCCCATGAGGGTCAGGCTCCGAGAGGACGGATGTGAAGCCTACCAAACAAGAGAAAGTCCCTTTGCTATGGCTATTGCAGGGAGCCGAAGAGTCACCACCTGAAGTTCCAGATACCTATAATCCAGTAACCAGGTGCTGTCCATGTACGAAGCTGTTGTTAAAAAGGGGTCATTATGGACATTTTTACTGGTAAGGGAAAATTCCAGACATTCCTATGCTATACAGGACAGCTTGTTTCTTTTAAATTCCAGTAGTAAATACAAAACTTTACATAATTAACCCCTCTTGCATAGAATGAGGTAAACCTGTGCATATTACCAATACTTTGTACCCAAAGTTAGAGCAATATTTTAGAAAAGAACCAACTTGCTGGTTTTCAACTTTCTATGCACTTTTTTCTGTTTTTAGGTTTGGACAACAGTATACAGAAATGGTCTCCTGGGGCTCTGTGGGTTGATGTCCTTAAAGCATTTCTTAGGCTGCAGGAACACAGAAGCTAACTGTTTCGACCACCAATTTTCTAAGCCCTACCTTGTGGTTAAGAGTCAAATAATCACTGTACTGCTCTGAAGGGGACCTACTAAGATCCAGAAGCACTTATAGAACATACGCAGTTAATTCCTGAGAGTTTAGTTAATGAACCTTACTGGTAAAAGCTAAAGCTCTTGATGCACATTTTTCCAGTCACAGCTCTGCAGGGTGATTGATAATTTCACTCATCAACTCCATCAATGAAGCCATCTACAAAAACATACAAAGTCTAAAACCAAGGAAGGAAAATCCAAATAATTAAGGGCTCACGTGAAAATACTTCGTATTACGCTACTAGTCAGTCATTTGCACCCTTCTGCTTAACTTTTGCCTTTAAAACATCTGGACAGAAAGCAGGTGGGATTAATGGGATATCTGAAGCAAGACGCAAGGATCGAGGCAACAAACATCCAGCTGGTGAGTGACGTCTACGCTGTGTGCCATCCGTGTAACGTTCTCAAGTCTCAATTTCCACCTCACAACACTGCAGCAAGAAAGGAACACTGCAGGCTGTGCAGAGCTGAACATCTGGCTCCTTTTAGGTCAACCGAAACCACAGGGAACATCAGTTCTGAATGTTCAGAAATAAGCTTTTCAGATGGTAAGGAAACGAGGTCTTTCTGAATGGAAAGATACAATCAGAAGAATACAGAGAAGTTCCTTCCACCACCAAGGGAGGCCCCGGTTGCTGTCTAGGTTAAATCCATCGTTATTTCTCATCTTCCAAAGCAGGGAATCCTCTGAAGTTCCAGTTTGGCAGAGATAGGGCTCTGTAAACATTTGCTGGAGCGTTCCAAGACAACAGATATCCACGTGGAGACAAGAGAGCTGCAGTCCCAATCCAGTGCCCACTGCGGCCAATGAACACAAGGCTACTGATATCACTGGGGACTGATTCAGACCCTAAGGAACTATATATTTTAATTTAAAAAGCATCATATAAAAAAACGCATTTTAAACTAAATAAAAACACATTGAAAAGTTAAAAAATCTCCCCAGGTGATGGCTCCATTGCAGCTGGGGCTACTCACCAAGTAGAGCTCTACAGGGCGATCCTCCTCATACCATCTGTGCCTCCAGATCAGGGCTCAAATGCCTTATTTCACAATTAAAAACAAACAAACAGAGGTGTGACCAGTGCAGTTCACAAGAGTTTAAGTATCTCCCAATTTGTACCAAAAAGGTTCATTTGTCGTGACAGTTCATTTGTATTTGCAACTGCATCTTCCTCCAACGCTTCCCACGATCGTGCTATTTAAACTCTAATCTTACAAAAAAATTAGATTTTCAGTTCTTGTTAACAATGCACAATAGATCTGAACTTGAAAATATTACAAAACTCTTGCAAAAGCTTCAAATGCAACACAAAAAGTGTCCGCTCTCGTTTTTAATAAATTGAAAAAATCTTTTTTCACTAAAATAGTTTCCCCGTCCTTCCAAAAAATTCTGAACCGAGTCTAGCTCATCTACAGATAGCAAAGTGCCCCCGGTGCAGCCATCCACGCTGCACCATCAAAGCGGGAACAAAACCAGTCAGACTTGGAGAAAGGCTCCTTTCCTATCACCAATCCTGCGCCCCTCGCTTCCTTATGCTGCTTTATGGTTCTTGCTTTATGTAGAAGCTGGCAGATCCGTTGCTCTCCTGGTCAGACGCTCCTTGCAGGAAGCTGTACTCCTCTCCATCCAGCATCTCCTCCTTCAGCTGCAACGAAGTCACTGGAAGCAGATGAACAGGTAAAGTCTGTAACATCCCAGTAAGCACAACTCTTCATTTTACTTCACATGATTTAAATTGGGAACAGACATCAGATTTCCCATTTTAGAGATTCATCTTTTAATGCATGGTATCCCACAGAAGGCAGATGCTTCCTGATCCTCAACTGAACCTTAAGTCCTGCTCCAGGGTTTTTCCCTCAGTAATTCAGTATTTTAAAACCCTGGTTTAAGAAAGCTACAGAAAATACTGCTAAGAAGAATGCTTACTTTACTGTTGTTATTTCATTTTACTGCCCCCTTCCAAATTTAGTCTTCATCCAAGTAAGATGAATTACTTGCCATTTACAATCAATCACATTGTCTAATTACTGTAAGCAGTCCATATGAGACAAGAAAAAAACACTGACAAAAATTTTCCATCACAGCCTCAAACTGCTAAAAGTCCCTGAGAAAAATGTCATTCAAGCAAACCATTTTTTGTAGTTTTAATCTTCTTTCTTTTGTATAAGGAAAATAGAAATGTGATCAAAGGCAGAAATACTGATGTTAGGAGAGCAATAATGCCACAACTGCTCCTCCATTTCATTAATGGACAAGGAAATTACCAAAGTATGGAGCAGAGGGAAAAAAAACACTGAAATAAATGAAGCAGACCAGCACTTCCTTTAAAGGTGCAGTACCCACATTTAGGGGTTGAGCATACAAAAATATACAGGATTTTGCATAAAAAATTCTCTCCTCAAGTCAAATTAGAGGACGGTTAAAGATTTCTGTCATCCAGGATTGCTGACTTGCACTTAAAGTAACTTTCAGCATCCAAGACATTAATTTTTGCTAGGCTGTCCCAGCAGAAAATACCTTGGCACAGAAGCCAAGCAAATTGCTGAATGGAGACAACACATTATAGACCTTTGCTGTAGCTGATCTGTCCTTGTGCTGGCAGCACGAAGCACTGCATCTTTGCACTCCACTCTTCCAAGACAGCACCAAGAGAATGAGTCAGCAGAGCGAGCTGATGCTCCAAAAATAACAGACATAGTTGGGTTGCCTGGAATGAGGTCATCGACTTCTGTGAAGACAAACTACTCACCCCTGCGTGGCAAAAGAGCTGCCACAAGTTTTTAACTGGTTCATCATTAAAAACGCTGTGGCTCTTAGCAGGGCTGAGGGCTCACCCTGTGTGCTCAGACTGCTACAAGTTATAAAGAAATAATTAAAAAAAGATATTCTGGGTTATTTACAAAATTCCCTTCATGGCACACTGCACCTTTTAGCTTAACGCCTGCTTTACATAGAAACAGCACTTCTAAGTAGAAGAGAGACTGAGGGAGAGACCACAAGCTTTTTAAGCAACAGGGAAATGGCAAGCACTATTTTGTCACCCACTTTTCTTATGTCCTTTGTACTGTTGTGATTTTGACTTTTTCTTCTGTTTTGATGAACTTGACTGGTTATCTCTTGATGCTGCAAAAAAGCGTGGAGTACAAAATTTAAGTTTATTATTTTGGAAATACACTTCAGAACACCACAAAGCTTTTCTGAGAAACCTGCCATTAAACTGCAATCAAACTGCTATCAGTAGTCAGCACTACTAACAGTACTGGCATTACTCTTCCTACCTCCTTTCCATTAAACAAACATTCTTTAAAGCTATCAATTACCATAAGAACTGGCCCAGCACGCCAAGTTTTGATGAAATGTAAATGTCCTAAATGAAATGTAGCCTTCCCACACAAACACTTCTGCACAGCAATAGCCAAGCACACACTGAGGGCCGTCACATTCAGCACGCAAAGAATATTTGTTTGCTAACTTCAACCACTACAAATTCTCTCTCCAGACTTGTCAGGTCATAGGGCTTTTTTCCTACGTGAAATAAACATCTTCCAGTAACAAAACAGAAAACTGCTGAGTTGCCACAGAAACGCCCAGAAATACTTTAAGAGTCAAGGTGGAAGAGATCAGAACTGCGTACTTCTAAGCGATAGCAATGATTTGTTCTATTTCTGTTACACTTAGTGACCTAACCTAAGAAGGACGAAGGCAGGAAAAGCATCACATGCGATTAAGGATCAGCGCACAATGCAGAACTTACACTGTGGTGCTGGAGGCTGCAGCTGATACCCAGTTAGCTGACACCATCCCACAGGGTAGAGGTCTGGGGACTCGCAGTCCACCCACTGGTCGTACTCATCTTCCCAGCCATCAAAGTGTATCCTCAACAGACGATGGATAATGCGAGTTACTGTGGCCACGCAGACCAAGCGAGGTTCCATCAGATCAACGGCCTCCAGTTTCATTCCAACATGAAACCCATGGTTTGGAACTTCCTGGAAAAGCAGGCACATCAAGGCACCAACCACGTTAATGAGATCAGTTGAGCACACGGTGCTGAAGCAAACATTTCAATCGCTTTAGCTTAAGACATTTTCAAGCATCATTTATGAAGTTCCGTGCAGTCCTGCATTTAACATTCCAGAAATACTCAGCCCCTAGAAATAAGGGCTGTTAAATTATATTAAAATCTGTTGGCTTAGTTTTTCCACAACTGTACTTGAAGAAAGTGGGTCAATCCCATAAGCACACAGATTGAAATGTGAAGAAAATCCTAAATTAAATTTCAACATGGATGCTTGGTGCTTATTACCTTATTGAAGAGCTTTACAGGTGCTGCTATTGAGTCAGTTTCCCTGAGGTAGTCAAACCATTTGAACGGGAGTTTTGTATAACCTGTGAATTTTAAACAATACTTTCATAAATCAACTGTGAGCTTCCTATGTTAGAACATCAACAAGAATACAACAGTGGCACTGTGCTATGGCTAAAAAGACAAAGAAGCAAAACATTAACATCAGAAATCTCCATTCTCTGAGCTCTGGTCTAATGGACAACACAGTCAACTGGACACTGCCTTTGTGCAACAAAGATGAATGAATTTCTGGATAATACACAAAGCATCATTTGATGTAAGATCAACTGTCGACACTGGAAGCTCTCTGCTCACGTAGATCCTTCATGTCTACAATGCCCCACACAAATGACCCAGAACACATAACGTAATTAAGCACATCCAGTGTCTTTCCTGTGGGGAAAGAGCTCCACTACTGAAAAATTTGATGCGTTAGGAACAGGTTCATGGAACAAGTGTGGATATGTAAAACCTTAAATAATAAAGTTAATGTTAGCAATAGAAGAAAGAATTACAGGATCTTTTTTCCCAATCTTTTAAGTTATTGGAAAGGTAAAAAACCAATTTCTTATATATTCAGCTTTGGTTCATCTCCTGAATGTGCCTAAAAGTCTTATGAGTATTAAAGCATCTTCAGCTTCTGCTGGTCTCAGCAAGAGATGAAGATATTAGAAAGGAATAAACCTAGCAGCACGAATTGCAGGGGTTTAACAGCAACTTATTTAATGTACCCACACTGCTGGATGTAATCTAACAAATGGCGTTCACTTGTGGTACATAACTGTCTGCAGGAAGACATGCAGCAGGAAAGCTTGGGTCATCTCTAAGTTTTGAGAATTAATGCTTGTGAATGTACAGCTCCTGTGGCTGGACTAACATACACAAGGCCCTTAGGCATTAAAGACGTGCACGTGGTCCTAATTAAACAGCCAAAATTAAGAAACTGTGCATTTGCAAGCTCATAACTTGGAGGGTAGAAGATACCTCTCATAAAAGCTAAGATGCTTTCATCACTTCAATCTTATTAAATCAGTAATAAAGCTGTGTTAAAGGGCCTTACGTTCTGTATTTTACTCCTAACTTCTCTCTCAAATGACTTTTAGATTATTGCATGGGTGATTCTGTGATTTTAAGATTCAGTCATCTCTCAGTGGATGATACAGCACTGCTGTGGAAAACTGCAATATAAAATGGGCAATAAGGTAAACAAAGCTGCCAAAATATGAGAAACACAACAGTATGATAAACGTGGTAACAGAATTTGCACACTGTTGTGTAAAGTCTTTGAAGAGTGAAAAAAAGTTTCATCTTAAAAGGGAATTTGATTTCTGTATCTTTTAGCGTAGCCACTTCTAAATTAGCTGCTGTTGATATGGACACTTTTTGCCCCATGCAACAACTACCACAACTGCAAGAGACTCCTGCAGCACATTTTGCAGGTGTGGCCACGCTCATGAGTTTCTAGGCAATACATTCACTAGATGAGTTAAATGGAAAATAGTAAATCTGCCTCAAATGCACTGAACGCATACTCAAGGATGACAAATTCATTCGTGTGCAATAGTAAAAGTAAGACATTCCTCATGTTGTGTTATGTAGTTATTACCTAGAAAATCACTCAATAAATACAGGTAGAAGCCAGCAAGGAGAATGAAGAAAAACCATCTGCTGCTACATGCCTAATTAAAATCCTCTCTACAAGCTGCTGGACCTCAATAATACAAATCAAAAGATGGAGGCAGTAAGAGCCTCCTGTAGGCACCCATGTGGTGGACAGACAGCTTATCCTCACAGAAGGGATTATGTGGCAAACAGCTCCAATGGCCACTTCCCTGCAGGTCAGGTTTGTGCACACCCTACAGAAGTTTACAGCTTTGTCACTATTCACCCAAGTCTGAGATTCTCTACAATGTCCATTCAACCCTCTGGAGGTCTGGACTCGCCAAGCAACAGCAATTTATGAGCAGACCATGCAGCGACTTGCATATTTATACTTCCCATTCACATCAAGCTATGCTGCTCAACTAGTGGCTGTCCTCAACTTACAGCAGTAAAGGCAAATTATTTTAGCCAGTGTATCATAAGGAGGTTCAATTTCCCTTTTTCTCAGAAGTTTGTCTCTGTTTTGAAGATTACTTTCAAGTTGCACTGTTTTATTTGTTTCTGACTGGAGAGTGTCCTAAAAAGTGAAATGAATTTTGTAGACTGATTTAAAATACAAAGCATATGGCACATACAATATCACTGAAAAATATTCAAAATAAAATGTGGTCAGAATTCTATATGTACCTCTGGGTGGAGTTAGTTCAATCATGTTAATTTCACAGAAACCAACAGGGAAAATAGAAGGGGAAGTGGCATGGTAACAAAACCAATCAGACCCATCTGCTGCTTCTGAGCCATCAATCCCAATCATAAGATAGCCATCTGCTAAAACCTTTGTAAAGAAAAACAAAATTTTACATTAAATACCTTTAACTGTGTGATAAGGCTAGAAAGAAAGCATGCCATGTTTCAAGAGTGAAAAATAACTAATAATGAAAGTACTCAGAAGAACATTCAATTACAATAAAACAGGAAAAGCAAAACAAACTGAAATCATACCTGTCTCCAAGATTGTGTGCTCTACTGTCAAATGTACCTTTGATAACTGCAAAGTTATGAGGTGAACATTTCCTTTTTCTGAGCTCTAGTTTATTTTTTGTGAGTATATCAGTTCTATCTTAAAGCTTTATGTTTCAGTTTACTCTAGCTTGAAAGATATTCTGCACACTATTAAGAAAAAGAGATTTGAAATAATGACCACACTCATTGGTAAGGTTATGCAAAGTTGCTAAGCTACTCTTTTTGTCCATTCTCTTTCCCTTTTAATAAAGACTTAATGTTGATGAGATCCCTTTTAATCAATCTAGAAAAAGCTTATCTTCATAGATTCCAGCAAGCAAGCAAGATGAGGCTTTTATTTTGAATACAATGGCAAAATACTTGGGATAATTAGCAGTAGACTGTCTTGAAAATTAATCTCACAAGCAAAGCATAAATTAAACGTAAGGCTGAATCTCCAGAGATTAAAATCAAACATACATGAATATGTTCTTCTTCACAGTAGTTGTATATAACTTAATGGATTCATTTCCTGAGCTTTGTTTCTAACCTGAACAAAGGTGAATGTAAAATGGTCCTGCCTGTCTTCTGACAACAAACACTGGCCTCCTTACCTTCCTAATAGTTGCCACACATATTGCTGAAAGGTTTAAGGGGTCTATAGCTTCCAGTTTCATTCCTTCTTTAAACCACTCTCCAGCTGTGTCAACCTCTTTCACCTAAAAAAATAATCATGAAGTCAGATGACAGCACCAGAAGCTCAGAATCCAACAGCCAGACACAGCACAGGAACAGGGTGAAATACCTGCACTGTCACCTCTGCTTACGACAAGAAGGACAGATTATTAAACTGTGTGAATTAAAATTCACCAGTGCTTCTGCTGGGCATATTTCCACGACTTCCAGGTCTGTTTCACACACACCAGGTCCTCAATCGACTGACATAAGAACATTCTTGGTAGCAAACTCACCTTCATAAATAAATGTGAGGGTGCATCAAAGTGTCCTTCCTGTTTCTTTGTAATATCTGTAAGGAACAGCAGTGCATATTAACAACAGTTTTTGGTAACAGAGCAGGCAATACTTTTTTCTTAACATATTAACTGCTGGAGTGCAATCACCTGTTAGTGTGGAAAGCCTACGATGAGACTCCACACAAATCTGGGGAGCACTCTCCATTCTCCCCACTGACTTCCATCTGAAAAACCTCTATAACACAGCCTCATTTACAGAAAAAAATCCAAGACTGCTTAACTGCATCACCACTTTGCTACCAACATATAGAAGCTTTAAAAAAAAAAAAAAGGCAAGACTACTTCTTTTCTAACAGATTACATTTATATAATCACAGTTTCTACACAGTATGTCTACTCTCTGCACACATATACAGCTTATTTTTGCCAAGTGTTGAATCCCACCTTGCAAGGGAAGTCCTTGAAATCCTATTAGAGACATTAAGACATTACTTCTGGAAAACAGCACTGTTCTTTCTGTCTCTACTCTTGCTTATAAACAGCTCCAGTGAAAATTTAAGTAGTTAGAAAACTGTCTTGAAGGGCTGCATTGGGAAATCTTCATGGAAATTCTGTTTCTGACAAGGTGTACATTCACAATGAAAGACAGAAAGATTCAAAAAAACTTTTTCTTACTATTTATGGACCTTAAATATTTCAAATTAAAAGTATTTGAGATAACAAGGATCTAAACCATACACCATCTATTAAACCATCGTCTTCCCTGCTCATTTCCTAACAGCCCCTACAACACCTAGGTCTTGCAATACAAAAACAGAATATTCCTTACACTTGGAGAGACAGAAATTAGTATCCCATTGCATACTTGCTCATGTTGCAGTGTGCAAAAGAGACAAATGCAGGAAGTAGTAGAGCAGAACAGTATAATTCCAGGTTCATTTTTTTCATAAAAAAATGAAATTTGTAGCATGCTTGAATATTGCAGTTCAATTTCCTGCAGACCAGTTGTACACTGAACTGAAACTCTACAAAGGCAGTGTAATTGGTAAAACCATTAGGCATCGTTAGAAAGTAATTAGCCAAACTAGTTTTATTAACTGTATAAAGCAACAGTATTGCTTAAGTCTCCCCATGCCACTACTGCCCACAGACACCTCTGACAAGCAATAGGCTTACCAGATCTTTTGAACCTGTGTCCTATGCTTCGAGACCAACCAATGTGGTGGATGAGTGGACTGTACATATGGCACCAGAAATCATCCGTTTTGTCTTCGCTCTCTTCATACACCAACCTCAACCTTCCCCCAATGACATTCTCTACAACAGCCACCCTCGTTCGACACAGGTGTGTTTTGTCAACGACTTCCACTCTCATGCAAGTTTTGAATGGATACTGCATGCTCTCAGACACCTTAAAATAACAGGAAAAAGATTCTGTAAAGATATATTGTTTTGGCTTAGTGATTTGTCTTCTACAAAGCGCAACATTAAAGAACTTCCCATTTAATTCAGGCACTTGCTAAGCAGCTGGCACAAACGACACGTGATTTATCTGCCACCTCCTTGCAACCGCAGCAAGATGCAATATTTTAACAAGACTAACCTGAATAGATCCTACAATGGCATCATTTCATTTAAGTACAGCCTCATACAGCTCTCGTGGGGGTTAAATGATTCCCTTGGTTCGATGAAAGCTTGTTCAGTTAGTAACAGATTAAATTACCTTGACCAACAATTTCAACAGATTTATTTCTTTATTATCCACTCAGAACATAGCTCTTCAAATGCAAGATCAAAATATTTTAACGTATTAGCAATGAAAAATAAAATTCAAACATAATGAAAGTTTACCACTCAAACATTCCCCATCGTACACCAAAAATAAAGGAACAGAATGACAGAGCGACTACCCTGCACTGTGAGAACCTATTTTGTTTAAAAGTGCTTTCCAGTCAACTCAGCATTTTGTAATCTCCACCAGTGCTTGGGCCTTGCCAATTTGATTTGGCTTCCACTCAGCCATTTTTAAATACAAATGAACATCTTCAGAAAAAAATGGGGAGGAATACTAGCTGCAGAGCGAGACAACAGTACTTCTTAGATTCCCATTGAAAAAGCAACATGCCATCTCACAATATCAATAAATAAACACAGAAAACATTGTGCAGGCAGCTATCATACATAACAAAGACAGCAAACAAATCTAGCTGGGAGCAGATGAAAGCTATTAACATTTGAAAATATCAGCTTCATTGCATCGAGACCTGCGCACAGCAACAGATGGTTCAGATCCCTGAAACACTTCACAACTGAATCATTGCTGATTTAGAGAAATCAGATTTTTTCTTACATATTACAAGGTAGCTTATTAGCATTTTTGAGTACTTTAAAATTAAAACAGACTAACTAGTTTTTAAAGAAAATTACTTCTGCTAGAGGAAACAGCTTTCCAAAGAGAACCGCCTTCTGATAAACATGGAGATAAATGGAAAATAGAGATTCCTGTGAAAACTGCACTAAGAAATTATCATCCTCTCTGCAGAAGGAGCTAACATGCCACTAACAAATACAGCTCTTCTCTCTGCACTGCCCCTTTGTTTGCAGTACATCACTGATACTGCACCAGCCTTACCTTCTGAGAAAAGTCCGGAGGAAGTGTTTTGGCACCAGTAAGTCGTTTCACTAGAAAAGCTTTCCAGTTTGTGTATTTGTGTTGGATGGCTGTTGCAAATGAAGGGGACAAAATAAGCCACTGGTTTTTTTGTGTGTCCATTAGAGACAATGTTACAGTCTGGAATAGGTAAATAAGAAATCCTAGATGACTTTAAAAGTCATCTTTAAAAGCTTTAAAATGAAACTTTAAAAGCTCAAATGAAAACAGTTCAGTGAGGAGTCAGAAGATTAAATGTATGGGTATGTTTGGGCAAAGAGTTCAATCACAAAATATAAATAAAACTTCTGGATATTCACAACACTGATTAGCTAAGCAATTCCACCTTGATCTTAAAAACAAAGTCATTCTGGAGGGGTACCACAGGAAGTGCTTTAAGTGTGAGTCAAGTCCCTGTTTTTCCATTAGATCAATGATTTATGAACAATTGTTGGCAGAATTGCTATGGCAAAGAATGCTGATATCAGAACCACCAGCAAATTAAAGAAGACTTAACTGTAGCAATCAGTAAGACTACTATTTACATACTTCGAGGAGGGACTAAAGGCTTCCCACTGGTTGCACACCAACCAACTGGGTGGATATCAGACCCACAAACGTTGCACCAGAAGTCAAGGTTTGAATCATTTTCAAAGCCTTCGTATCTTAGCAGAGCGTTGTAGCCTGAAAGGAAAATCACATGAAAAACGTAAGATTTTAAAAAGATCAATTAAAACTTACCAGTCATAACAGATACTACATTAGATTTTCTAGACTAGAACTTTCTAAAGAATGTTATTCTTAAGGCACATGCTGCATGTTATCAGAGCATTTTAACTAAAACTCTTGTATCATAAACCTTCACAAGTTACACACAGGCAAAATCACAGGATTGTAGGACTTGGAAGGACCCCTAGAGAACGCTGAGTCCAACTCTTTGCTAAAGACTACAGGCCACATAGTTGGGCGCCCAGATGAGTCTTGAGCATCTTCAGAGGAGATTCCACCACTTCCCTGGGCAGCCAGCTCCAATGCCACATCATTCTGACAGTAAAGAAATTCTTCCTTGTGTTAGCATGGAACTTCCAATGTTCCAGATAAGAATTCCTTTGTTACTCACAGCCTCTGCTTTTTGATATTTTAGCTATGTGAACCTTGAATTTTCACCTTCGCTTTTAGCCAAGGTAGTGATTTTTCTAACGAGACTTGCTTGCTATTTTTCAATTTTTTATCCTTCATCCAGCACCATTACAATGAAATCTAGCAATAGAAAAACAAACCGACCAACCCAATGTGAAGATATTGTAAAACAGCTCAACAGTGATAATGGTGGAAAATACAATCTTGTGATACAGCTCTGACCTCTTAATGGTGTCAGCATTCTGTTAACCAAATGACTGCTGACTACACTATAAGCTACCTTTGCATAATTATTTTGACTACTTTAGTAATTGCAATCAAAATATATTCACCTGCTAATTTCACAATTCCAGCTATCCAGAAGACTTTGGTAGGCAGGCTGCAGTCCGTGTTGGGAACCTCCACTCGCACTCCTTCTGAGATGTCACCCCAGCACGTCCCCATAGGTGCCTAGCATTTAAGGTAGGAGGAAAGTAAAGAGCTCACCACTCTGCTTACAGCACAGGATTTGTTGTTGATGTTGCTGATTATTGTTTCATAAGTGACTTAAAAAAGATGACTATCAACATACATGATAACAAACATACGGCAAGAAAATAGCCTATGGAAATCTAGCTTGGTTTTGATCTGAAGCTTGTGCATAGTGCTGGTTTACTACTATTACAGTCTACCTTCTACAACCACCATAGGCTTTCAAGGTCAAATATCCATAAAGCACACATTTTCATTGGTACTCTTCCTTCCACTATGCTCTGACTACATGATACCTACTAATTTTAGGTAGGAATGGTATAATTCCTCTGCAGTTCTCTTAGCAGAAAATTTTGGCACTTAATCCATTCCACAGACATCAAAACATTTACGTTCTGTAAATCTGTAATACGTCTGAAAAAATGCTTAGAAGTTATTTCTCAAATCTATTCTGAAGTTTTATTCTGATGGGTTTTTATCACCCATAGTTCACACCCTCTCAGAGCACACAGGCTTCCAACTCACCTGCATGTCATCATTCTACTAAGCAGCCAAAAAGAGGAGGTAGAGTTCTACCACTTTAATGAACATCAAAGGAAAACGCCCAGCTAAATTCCTCACACACTGTCATGAAAGCTTAGACTAATATGTTAACAACAACAAGAAATACAAGCTCGATAAAGTCTGAAGTGTTTTTGGAAACTGGAGATAAAAAAAACAACATTTAGTTTGATTTCAGGAATTTTTTTAACAGAGCATCATGAAAAAATTGTCAAAGATTCTATAGTAGAGATACCAGAAACACAGTGTTCAAGGATCTAAAACCTTAAAAGCTACTCAGCTGAAGCTAACAGTAACAAAATATACAGTGAGCCAGTCTAAATGAAACTCCACCAAGAATGGCAATGCTTGGATTTTGGTTATGTTAGGACAACAGTCATAAGAAAGATTTCACATTCTGAGAAGAGTCCTGATCAATCATTAGAACATCCACATAAAGGGACAGCTGAAGGAATCTTCTGGGATTTTTTTTGTAGTGGGCAGACAGTACTGTACGGCCATGTTTTGTTACAAGGCTATTTGGAAGCACAGAGAACTGACAGCTTTCTGGGAACAGCCTCCAGCTTCATAGATTTTTTTGCCTGTTACCCACAAGTGAAGAAAGCTGGATTAATACTTCCTGAAAGATTGGAAATTACAATAAGGGAATTTTGCTGGAATGTCCAACTTGCAGCTCCAAAGTCTTTGAGGGGCATAGCATCCCCTTATGCAATATTTGAGGTTAGGCATGCAAAACTTAAATCAAGTTTTAACTATTAAAGGAAAAATCAGTCACAGCAAGTTTTCTTATTCTTGAAGCCTGGTCTCTTCATGCACTGCTATGTCCCATCTACACCAGCCCACCCTGCAGAGCTCTTTTCTGCCATCTGGTAGACAGAAAGAAAACAACTTTCAAGATGATGGTTTATTTTCACACACAAAGTATGCAGATGCAACTTCTTAATCAAGTCCTATTACATTTCCACTATCATCTCTAAATTGACACTTGTGGCTTTTTGAATTGAAATGGGGAAATAACTTTTCAAAGAGCATATTTTAGAAAGTCTGGTTGCCTTGCATAGAGCCACAAATCTAAATCAAAAATAGCAGAGCTGAATAATTTTCTAATCCAGCTGCACTTCACTAAAATAAACGTTACTGCCTGCTCATCTACTCCATTGATTCAGAGGAAGAGTCTTTCAAAGCAGTTCTTCCCCCTTCAACCGATTAAAAAATGTCACAAATGCTTTTATTTCTAGAACATGGATTGGTATAGAGGGAAATAGCAGAAAGTTAAATTTGTCCTTGTCTGTGAAAATATTGGTTCTGCTAGTTCTCCTACACCAATCCTTATGGCTCACCCTTCAGAAGGAAGCCATCCTGTGTAGCATCACTACTGAAAAGCCAGATAACATTACTGTCCTGAAGTGATGGTATACCTGGTATACTGTGCACAGTAACTACTCTTAAATGAGGAAGACTGGATAAACCAGGGCTGTAACAGCCATCTTCCTTAATGTCTTCTCTGTATTTGTGCAATTAAGCAATTAATGTTTGCACAATGCTTTGGAAGAAAAAATAAACTAAAAAAAATCAAAGTACTACATAAGTGTAAAGTCTTATTCTTCTGCTGGCTGGCAAGGTAACTCTGAAGTCTGGATTGGCATAGCATGAACTAGCAGAACCATAATTTACAGGTAAGAACAAATTTACCTTTCCGACTTATGATGAAGAGATCCATTTCATGTAATTCCCAACAAGGAAAATCTGCTTCACTGCTTCCTGCTCCAGGAGAGGACTTGGGAGGGTTTATCTGTGAGCAGCAGCTGCCTTCTCTGCAAGGTAAGTCGTAATCAGGAAGGTTCAGTTGGACAGGGTTTGAAAAGAACGCCTAAGCACTGCCTATTCCCATATGCTTGACCCAGGAAATCTTTGTTCAGCTAAATAATTGACTCCTAATGGCCTTGGATGGCATCAAAATTACCACGACTCCAGATTTGAAAGCAGACTCAGAATTTAAACGGCAAAGAAATTCTACCAGTCCCTGAACCATAGGGATACTCTGCCACTGCAGCACAACAGTACCTGCACCTCTGGCCTTACCATTGAAGACAATGTGAAAGTGATGAAAAATTAAAGGCAAAGCACCGCCACCTAGTGCCAAACCCTGGAAATGCTCCCCTCGAGCAAACTAACAACAAAAGAAATCAAGAGAAGAAAAATACTGAAGGTGAGAGGAAGAGAAATATCTAACAAGAGGAGAGGACCAGTGTGCTTCCAGATTCTGACTGGTTTGGACACGTTTTTCAAAGACGTGGAATAAACAACACTCATCAGCATCCACTGCCATACAGCTTGTGAAAGATTTCAAGGTAGAGTACAAACACTGGTATTGTGCCCACTCACATTACTGCTGTTCTACTCAGGCTAATGAGTGAAGCTGTAAGAAAGATAAGGCTCCTTTTACTACGGAATGTTTGGGCTCCATTTATCAGTGGTGTTACTGCTGTAGATGTATCCTAGTTAAGGACAGGGGAAGCATTTGCTGTAATAGCACAGGTTACAATATCAAACGTGGCCTTTTGATACACACTTATGAAATTACTTGTTACAACACGTACATAATTATGAAAGCAAAGTGCAAACATGCTTAAGCACATGAAATTCAATACAAATTAACAAACCTATCCTAATGCAAGACTGTTCTGGGCTCTGTTAAGGAGCATAAAGGGTTCTGTCAACTGCCAAGAAAGAGCCCTTGCTCTGATTTAGGAACAACAGGGCTCAGCATGAATTCCAGAGCTGGAGAGAATTTCTCTCTCTTCTCCATTATGAAAAACTTCTAGGAAGCAAGATTTTTAACTTGATACAAATTTTTAACAGATAACTGAGCAAAACCAAAACTCTCATTGGAAGCCACAATACTTCATCTTCCCATGTAATGAAATAAACAGTATGATGAGAAGTGAGACTTTTTCAGAATGTTTTTACTTATGAGATGATTTTAGACAATATGTTAAACAATACCTAATAAGTAGATTTGAACAAACACATTGAAGACAGATGCTGGCAAATGCTTTCCTAATCCCCAAGCTACACTCTGTCATGATTTTAATAGCTGAGGACCTTTTGTTTGCCATTTCACAATTGTAACACAAAGGAAAGCATACTTTTTAATTTCAGGTTTAGGAAGAGGCCCCATCTTCCTTCATTCCTACACTAGCCAGCAGCAGAGCTGACAGGGAGAACTGACTGAAAACTAATAAAAATAATCCCAAACCAAAATAATTAATGAAAAGATCAGCTCTATACACTAGAGCAAGTCTGACTTGATCTAAACAGCATTTTGTAACTATACAGCATAGTGTGACCTGGTTGTGTGATACCCTAACACTGTACTCCATGCTTTTGTGCCCTGAAGTGAGGAAAAAAACAACAGTATCAGAAGCATTTGAGACTCATCCTATATTTATGAAAGCAAGCATGATGAGAGTAACTCACAGCATTCAGAATGGTTTAAAGAACAAACAGAAACACAGGTTTGTATCTATATGATAGTCATACTAGCAGAGTTTACAATAAAAGTTTCACAGTGTGAAGCTTTAAAATGTTTAAGATGTGTTTTGTGAAAATGAATTTAAGAATTAAGGTGGATCCTCTCTCTGATACAGACATGCACACAAAAGGACAACGCACTGAAGAAGTACTTACGTGCTTAAAACAAGTGACAGGAGCTGCTGTAAAGCTATTGCTATTGATGTAGCTACCCCAGCTGAAGCCTTCCACGGGGACAGCTGCTGAGAGAAAGTTACTGCATTTAGGAAACTGCCAGTGACACCTATTTTGTATTCCTAGAAGTGTTTCAGCTCTTTTATTTGACCATACCTGCTTTAGTCTTTGCCTGGTTTTGTAAAGTTGCTTGGTACTGAGCATAAGCTGCTAATTTAGCCACCAGTGGCTGTTTTTGTAGAACTTTAGCCTTCTTTGTTGGAGGTTTGCCCTAAAACAAACAAACAAAAAAACCATAAGTAAATAAAACCTTCCCAAACTCCCAGCAGAAGGATGTCCTTATGCTTGACAAAACTATTTAAAAGCAAACAAAAAAAATCACTGAGAAACAAACAGCTGCCACTAAAATAACTAAAAAATAATCTATCAAATATTTTTTTTCCAGAAAATTCAACTAAAATTGGCACAACACAGAATGGAGTTGATCAAGAAACACAAAACTATATATATAATATGGAAGATGATTAAAAATCAGCAGCAAAACAGTCTCCAAAAATTTACTTCTCTAAGAGTACTCCAATGTAAAGAGCATACAGACTCACTGCTCTACCTGAAAAACAAAATAAAATCTTTTGAAAGCAGGTTAAGAAGGAAGATTTTTCTTTTTAAATCTGATTTATACCAATGCAATTTCCTGGCATGTTGCATATGCAATGGAACATGAGATAGGATATAATGATATTCTTTTTATTAAACGTTACATAAACATTCTCACGATTATTTGCTTCATATCCTAAGTGAACAGATCAAACCTCATTTCATGTATCAGCATAGTTAAGAAAACCCTCAGAAGCAAACCAGCAGTGCCAAATAAACCTTTATGCTCTCTAAAGCCAGAAAGCATCCTGGGGATGACATGCATGGATTTTCAAATCATACAAATGTAGGTTGAAAGTTTTTTCTGATCTTTTCATTGCAGGTGAAAGTGGGGCACTGCAGCAGAAATGAAATAAGGAGTCAAAATTGGGTGGAATTTGCTCTGCTCAGCAAGGTAACGTGTGATCAGTGATACAGCTTTGAGTCCTGTCTCACAAAATCATGAGAGAATTTTACTACATTAAGAATTTTGACTTAGTTCTTTCAAAGCACCACAGTCGTTTTACAAACATGCACATTTTACAGACACAGACAGCAATAAGTATAAAAAGAAAATGGTGTCTGTACCGCTACCTGAAGTCTGGCCAGAATGCTGGCCTTCTTGGAGTTGGATGAATAGCTTCTAGAGCATGATACACTGCAGAAACGTTTTGTTTTAGAGTAAAAGGCATCACGGACACCAACCATTCCACACATCTCGCACGTAGCTAAGCAGAGGAGAGAAACAACACGGTAAGAGTCTAAGAAAAACCTCTAAAAATTCTGAACAAAGACGGCGTGACGAAGGTCCTGTAGGTGGCACCATCAAATCAATTTCTTACAGCTTTACCCTGAGCAGATCTGCACCAAAAGCCAACTAAAAGACAACCGCCACCACCATCGGTGATACGGTAAGAAGCCCAGGTTCACAGGCAGAAGTGCCTCTCCACTTTCCTGCCTACCAGTTTCACCACTGAGGTCAATCATCAACCCAAAGCCAATTTCTGTGTCTTAATGGCTCTCAAGAAAATGCCTACTTCGAATCAGAGCCAACCAGTTCCTGTTTTTCTCTAAATATTTAACACTTGCAAACAAATAAAACCAGATGTTTTTCTTTAATCTTAAAATTGGAATACATCCAAAGTACCTTTGCCTACCAATAGTTTCACCTATAGCTGGAGTCATATGCTTTAGAGGTTGATGGCACAGTGCACTAAGTTGTTCCATGCTCAGTAAGAGTTTGAGACCAACTCACCCCAGCAAGACATACCAAGATTCTACCCAGAGGGATCCAGTAACCAGGCCAAAATATTTTCCCCCCAAGGGCTAAAGCAATCTCTCTGCCTCTCCAATCTTTTATTTTTTGGTGTATACCACAGTCAGTAGTGAATACATACACACTGACGAGAATTATAAAGTAGTGGGAATGAAGTTTTTTTTTCCCCTAGTATAAGAAATATTTTTCTATATTGTAAACACACACAAAAAGAGACAATATGCTTTTGTGTAAGAGAGCACAATGACATTTTCAACAAAGCTCAAAGAATAAAAACAACACGCGTGAGAACAAGCGTGTGTATTATACACAACATACACTAGATAGGGAGGGTATTCATATAGTGCTTTCCTGATAGCAGGATTCAAATTTTATCATATTTCAGTCTGGCAAAATCAAGAAATCCACTGTATTGGTCCATTTTCAAGGGGACCAACAGTTGGGTCTGGAACCCCACAAAACACAGTGAGGGCAGAAAAAGCAGCATCAGTGTTTGTACTCACACACCACATACTCACCCATGCCAGATTTACCATCTGGGTAAGTATAGACCTGTCCATTGTTCTTTATGATTGGGAGACTGGATGGCAAAGGAGAAACCTCTTCTTCACTCTCATCTGAACTGGAGCTGCTGCTGGTGTCCTCACTACAACTGTCATAGCCGTCAAACATCCCGAATGAATCACGTCTCTTCCTTTCTGTTTGTGAAAGATGATTTGTCTAAAAATTAAAAAAAAAGCAAATAATGAAAGCAAACAAAAAGAACACCAGAGCATCGTGAACACAGCTATTTCAACAGCAAACTTGAAAATTAAAGGTCAGCCCTCAAATGGAGATACACTACAAACTGCCCTATCGGCATATAAATATCAGCACGTATTACAAATCAAGTTAGTAGAGTCAAAACCAGGTAACATTTGGTATTGGTATAAACAAAACAAGCTCAGTCCACTGAGCATACACAGTAGCAGTCCATACATTTTTTCCTTGGTTTCTCCAGAGATCATTAATCCTGATGTTCTGATCAATGACAGCCACGCATCTTATATGCAAATGAACATATTCCAGATGGCTGCAGCCAATTTCTGTAGAATTCATTCATTTGAGAAAGCTCAGCAGAGAAAACAGTGCAGCGAGGAGGGCACTGCTCTCCAGGAATGGAGCTGAGCTGCTCTGGGCCATCAGTGGCTCACAGTGCTGGGGATCCAGCTCTCAGCTTCTTCAGGATTCAGCTGCTCACGTGCAAAGCAGAAACACTTTTCCACCTCACAGGGGTGTTCTGAGGATTAATACGTTAACAATTATGAAGAGCTCAGTTACTATGGCAATAGGGTCTGTATAAATGCTAAAAGATAGAAAGGTGACTAATTTGTAGGAAAACTCTATTATGTAACAGGTTTCTGTACGTGGCAGTGGCAATGAAAAATCTGAGGTCGAGTGCAAACACTGCTCTGAAAAATGCCCAGCAGCTGAGCACTTTCCAAAGACAATAAAGACGACGACAAGCAACAGATTAACTTTTTTTTTTTTTTTTTTTTTTTTTTTTTTTAAATGGATAACTAATAAATGCTTTTTAATACAGGAACATTTTTACCTTTATTGCCACCTGACACGAGCCTACTGCTACATAAGCAAGCTGCTCTCATTAAGCTAAAAAAAGAAATCTCAAAGTATTTATATTATTCTTAACCATGCCTACAAAGGTTGAGAGGCATTAATAAAGCAAGAAAAGACATACTACAATGCAAGCACAAGTTAAGAGAATATAGTACAGCAAGAAGAAATAAATAAGAAAGCCTGTGCCTCTACTTCCCTCTCCCTTCAAACCCAGGAGTAAGTTTTATCTCAAAACCGTAGACAGAAAATATGATTGGACTTGTTCTTAAAGTGCATTTGGATTCATAGCTTTAAGACTTCATCACAATAATTCCCCAAATCCCCTTCCTGGAGAGTATCATTTGAACATCTCTATTGTTACATCTCATCCGAGCCTTCCTGTGCCACATTATCACTTTATTATAACATTCTCTATTCTCCTTTTCAATCTAAATCTTATTTTAGAAGACTTTCCTCATAGTTAAGAGAGAGAACTGATTCCTACACGGACCCAATCCCAGCATCCAACTACAAAAAAAAGCGCAAACAGTAGAAGGTTATGCAACAAAGCAAACACCTGTAAACACTAAGAACAGCTCTGAAACGTTAAATCGGCAGTGTTAATTGTGCACACACCCCATAGCCAACCATATAAAATTACACTAAAACAAATCAAAACTTAGGGCAGGGCATGACATGACCTCTATTCCTGAAGTAGGCAGAACAGCAATTGCAATCATTAAAGGAACACTAGCGGAAGGCAGAACGAAACCCAGCCCTGACCTGTGCCAGGAACGAGCCGTACCTGCACAGCACTGCTGGTACCAGCAAGATGCTGGCTGCGTTGTGCACGTGTGTGCAGATTAAGGCAGAAGCTGAACACATTGCCATGGATACAGAGTTCTGCAAAGTGTCAGCAATTCACACATGAGAACATGAAGACCTCGTCACAAACTCCGTAGTGCCTCACAGTGTTTTACCTTCAGTGACCACAGCCTAGGAAATAAACTGCAGTGCCATACTAACTACTCACAGCAGAACAGCCTGCTGCCCCCCACCACCGCACACAGCAGCTGACTGGATTTCCCTCAGGGACCAGGGCCTGGACCCACATAAAGAAGGACTGGAAGCCCCTCCTGGCGGTGCAGCACCAAGCAGCCCCAGCCCTGCTCTTTCCTTCCAGACCAAAGACCTCAGGCCTACACAGCAGCTTGGCTTCGCCCAGAACTCCATTGGTAGAGGCCTGAAGTGCTGCTACATCTCACAAGAATGAAGAGAAACAGCCCAGTCCCAGTCCTCCCATTCCCAAGGGCACAGCAGACACTGCCCTCCCAGCACCGCTCTCCCTGCACAGGAAGCAGCAGCAGAAAGCTGAAGGCAGGCTGAAGCTCCTTTGGCACACAAAGGAGTCAGGCTGAAGCATGGCTCAAGATCACAGTCACAGATACCATGACAATATGTTGGCTCTCACTTTTTTTTTTCCTTTATCACAGATTTAGAATCTCAGCAGCACTGCCAAGGCTCTTTGCCAAAATATCCATAGATGAGAAAGAAAATATTTCTGCTTTCTGTAGGAAATTACGGACTCAAAAGAGAAAAATCATCCTTCAGCATTATAGAGGCTCCAAAGTCTCCAACTCATCAAGAGTTTGTTTAGCTTATCTAAACCAAGGAAGTCTCACACATCACCTTTCCTTCACTTTACATTTAGTCACATTGTCCCAGCTGAAGTTATGAGCAACTCAAACATGTAAATGTGTAAAACAACCCTCTAGTTTTTATAAAACATCTTTATGTGAGTGCTTGCCAGAAGATGAGCATGTTTGCCAGACAATTTACATAGGATGTTCCTGGTGTTAATTTATAACTATTATTTGGATTTTAATTCTTGGGAAATTTGCTCAAACTGCATTTTGTGCAACTTGGAAAAGGTTCAGATTTTCAGTACAAAAATACAAACTGCTTTGTTCACAAAGGCAGGTGAAAGTCAGGGCAGAAAATACACAAATACCTTCGCTGGAATTTTGCTAGAGCAGATCAAAACATTTCTATTTTGATAATAAACACCAGTAAGATTCTTTTCGGCCCATGTTGAGGCAGCATTTGTAGAAACAAGCGAGTGATGCATGGAACCTCTGATAGCCCTCCCTGCAGATCTCAGCAGTCCTACTCTTTTGTAAGCCCTGTCTAATGCCTGAAACAGAAAACAAGTGGGTTACAAGTCTGGACTCACAGGTCAAAAATCACAACCTTACACAAAGGCCGATATCTGCCTCAAACAGAACCACAACTAAGGACAAGTTGCTGCCTCAGCCACAGCAGCAGCTTGCAGCTCCTGCCCAGCTCCTGCCAGTGATGAGCAGCAGCAATGCCATCAGCTGACAGCGCCCAACTGTGGCACCTGCAGGGCCTCTGCACAAAAATGCAGCCCTGCATCCCCAAACCCATCACAACTGTTACTGCACCAAAGCGTCCTGTTGTGACCACAGAACTGCGGGCTACCATGGGTACAGCGGGGATGGATTATGTGTAGTTTTCACATTCACACACTTCTATGACCAACATTAGGTGGTGACTCTCCCAGAATTTGTTTCTGGCTATCGCAGACAGAAATAATAGATTGAATTATTAATTTAACAATTACAACCCTAAGATCAACCCATGCATTTCACAATACATGCATAATGACAAAAACTGCCTGCTGCCAGGAGCTGGATTTAGCATGAAAAGCCACATTAGGGTTAGCATTTATTTAAAACTGAAATAGATGAGCGCTCTTCGCCTCCCCGCAAAACACTGAGAAGGAGCCTGGCTCACTGCAGAGCTTACAGCTGTGTAAGTGGCCAGCAGCAGAACAGCAGCTGTTCCACCTCACGATAAGCACCACTCATTAAGCAGAAGCAAGGCGTATGCACACAGAACAGGCCAAACTTCTGTGCATACTGGGCAAGGCTCATTTTCCTAGTCAGATTACCAGCTCCTCAATAGGAAGGATTTTTAGAGCGATACAAAATCGAGGTAAGTGAGACTGGCAAATAAAAGCCTGGGTCACTACTTGTTTAGGGGATTTCTTGCATGGCTCTTTTTACTGAAGAGATGGGTGGAGAGAGGAACTTTTAAGAACTGCTTTCTTATTCCGCCCAACTTCCCATTTTCCTGTTCTTCCTCTCCCCCTTGTGAGCACTTGGCAGCAACGTATTTTTAAGAAATATTCTTAATTAACCATTACACAAGGCAAATGGTATGATAAAAGAATATCGTTAAGGAAACCGGTTTTCCAAAAAGCTGGAAGGCAACTCCAAACAAATACGATTAACAGCCACTTTCTCACTCCTTTAGCATACACAGCTGAATTTGGTCATCACATCATAGCTCCCTGAAAATAACTGCTCTTCCAGCATGAAAGGTTGGTCACAAAGGATGTACACTGCGTGGCCAAATTGCAAAATAAAACAATTTAACCTTAGCTGGGCACGAAATGCTCGGGAAATTGTTTTAGTATATCAATGAAAACTATGCTCAAGTGTTGGCAACACTTAAGAGAAAGCATTTCAGAGGTGAAAACTTGCAACAGAAAATACCCCGTATTATCAAGCAGCCAAACTGTGCCTCCAAGTCAGCACATCCTGACCAAAGGCAGTTGGTATAAAACCATCAGAGAAACGTTTCAGCCTGCTCAAATGGGCAGTCACTACCATTCAATCAGCTTGGTGCTTAAATTCACTAAGACAGCAGTTTAGAAATACAAGAACTGCAGCTCAACCAATGTGTCCCAGCACCTCATGCAGAGAGGCACCAGTTTCTACACTCAGCGCTCACAGAAACATGACAGAAGTCACAAGGCAACCACCAACTTCCAGCCACGGGTGTCTGATAGAACATTTACTTTAATCACATAGCCTTAACAAAGCATGCTTTTCCAATAGTGTACTTCAAAGTCGGTGTTAAATTTGATACAATAGTTTTGTATTTGAAAGTTCATTAATGTTTTATGCCACGAGTGTGGTTTTGGCTCTGGATGTCAGCATTAATGCACCAAGAACAAAAAACTCGTTGATTGCAACCCTTCTGAACTTAAGCTGGCCAGAACCACCCTGTGCAGAAACACCAGGCCACCGCCCGCAGAACTGAAGCCCTGCATGAGCCTCATAGCATGGCAAAGCAGAAAAACTCCAACATGGTACCGATTTAAAGAAAATATACTTTCAGCTTTCATGAAAAACAAACAAACAAAAAACCCCAAAGCTAAACATCTTGGGATTCCTGGAAATCAGAACTAGCCAAACTTAGTTTTTTATATATAAGCAACTCACCTCTATTGGGAAATGTGCCTTCCACTCTTATTACAAGTAATATCTCAGCTGGAAAATTACAGAAATGTTTTTTCCTGTCTCTTCATTTGCTACGTATGACAGCATTTTGTCTGAAGCCAGTTTCTGCTGTTTGCCAATGGTTTTGTCCATAGCCTCTTCCCCAGGGGGTTTCACACGAGAAGAGGGGAGACTCTTACAAAAAAATATATCAAATTAGCAGGCAACTTGGAGGGGTGGGGGTGATGTAAATATGTGAAATATTTTCATTTGAATAAAATGTGTTTACATTAAAAACTTCATTATGTTTTTACAAAGCCCTTACACATAGGAGCACCTGGAAGAGGCAGAGTCTAGAAGTCAAATACTTGGTTCAAACAATTCTGTTAACATTATAAACAACGACAAAACAACAGTAAAATAACTCCAACCCCAAGCCAAGATTTGCTACACCTGAATCCCTCCTGTGTGCTTAGGGGCAGATTCAGGAAAATATCACAAGTCCAATGTGCACCAACTTACCTGAGAAACGAAGGTGTGCTGCAGCAGTTTGCAGAAGGTATCGAGAACGTTGTGAAATTACATCAGGTTTTAAAAGGCAAGAGAAAGGAAGGCCAGCGTGGGATTTCCTTTCCCCCGAGTTACTGTTACCACCACAGCTATTTAACTCTTTAGGGAACGACAATGAAGATAATCCTTACTTTCAGCCTACAATCCTTGTGCGCTCACAGGTCTCCGCACTCTCGGGAACAAGAGCCAAACCATGCACCAACAACAACTTCCACCCAGGAAAGCATACACCTCTGCTGTGCCTCCCTGCGGCTTACGTTACACACTTCCTCAAAGCGATCCCTAGGCAGAAGTAACAAGCACAGATTACTGCCTACATCTGTTAAGTCCCACGGATCTCGTAACGACTGCATTGTTTTGGTCCCCGTTTAAAGGTCCCGATTAGGATCTCCTTTAACCTTTTCATTCCGTTCCGTGCAAGTTAAAACCGGACCGTTACGAACAAACGTAACCAAGCAGTGACTGAGCGCAGCCCCTCGAACACGCAAAACTTTCGTTTTTTTTTTTTTTTTTTTAAAAAAAAGACAGAAAACCGCCCCACAGCTTCCAGAGCCTTAAAGGGAACAGCGGCGTTACGGGCACCGTTCTCTCCCATGAAGCAGCGCCGTGCAGCGGGACGCTCCGCAGAGCCGCCGCTCCGGGACACGGCGCGGCAACGGCCCGAGCGGGGATCGCCGCCCGCGCCGGGAAGCGAAACGCGACGAACGGCCCCGGGACGAGTAGACCGTGCGCATTCCGGAACGCTGAGCTCGGGCTGGAAGGCGGCAGCGGCGGCAGGGGCTTTAACTCGGCAGGAAGGATACAGGAACGCGGCTCCGGCAGGGTGACGCCGCGCCAGGGCTGCCCCGAAACTTCTCGCTCCGAGAAGGGCCGGCGCCGCGGGACAGTGCGGCACAAAGGGCCCGGGGCCGCCCCACGTGTGGGCTGTCAGGGCCGCCCCGGCCCGGGATCGGCGGAGCGGAGCCACCCCCGCGCCCCGGTGCAGCGCCCCGGCGCAGCTCCCCGCCCGCGCGGCCGAGGGAGGCGCAGCCCCCGCCCGCCCCTGGGGGCCCGTCCCGCCCCGGCAGCCCCTCCGCCCGCCCTGGAGCCCAGCGGCACTCACCGGCTCCTTTGTGTTTTCCATCAGGCCCTCGCGGGCAGGAGACGCCCAGCCGCCGCCTCTGCCCCCTCCCCTCGGCTCGGCCCCCTCCGCCCGCCGCCTCCCCCTGCGAGGGGCCGGGCCCGGCGGGACGGGAGGCGGCCCGCAAAGTTCAGCGTCTCCCTAAGAGAAAGGAGCCCCGCTCCGTGCGCCGGGACATCAACAACACGAGCATCGCCGCTCTGCGCAGGCGCGGCGCCCGGCCCCCCGCGCGCCCTCATTGGGCTCCGCGCCGCTCGGGGCTCCTCGCTCGCCGTACCCACCTCGGGGGGAAGCCATCGGGGAATGGGGCGGCTCAGCGGCACGAAATGGGCCGAACGGGGGCGGCAGCCCCGCTAGAAGCTGTTTTGCTTTGTAACGGACGGCGCGACAAGGGAGGGGGCTGCTGGGTCTCGGCTGAAGGCAGCTCGCCGTCACGTAAGGTAGAGGACGTCCCCCCTCCACCCGTGCGGAATAGAGAGCGCCAAGTCACGTGGAACGCGGAATGGGAGAAGGGGAGGAAGGAAATAAGGCGAAGAAAGGAGGTCACGTGACAGTTCGTGCGGACAGGGGAAGCTCCCGGCTCACGTGGTGCGGGGAGGGGCGGCGGCCTCCAATCGGGAGAGGGGTGGGCACGAGCGCGGCCGCGTGGACGCTCGGCCACATTTCCGGTTCCGGCAGCTCTGCGGTAGCGATGCGCGCGGCGGCGGCGGCCCCGGGGGTTCTGGCTGCGGCCCGGCGGCGGCCGGCGGAGCTGAAGCTGACGGCCAAGAAGAATAGTAATAAGAATAAGAAGAAGATGGTGAAGCGGGCACGGCCGCGCGCCAAGGAGTTGGAGGCGGCGGCGGCGGCGGCGGCGGCGGAGGAGGAAGCGTCGCGCCGTGCCCGGCACTTGCGAGCCATCTCCGGCGCTACGGCCGCTGAGCGAGAGCTAGAGGAGCTGGTGTTCGGCGATAGCCTTGTCGCGGAGGAGGCCGAGCTGCTGCAGCGCCTGGCCGGCCCGCAGGTACGGCTCGGACGGGGCGGCGGCTTTGGCGCTGCGGGGCGGCGCGGCCCCGGTTCCCCTGCGGGAGGTGAGCGGCCCGCCCCGCGCTCAGCGTCCGTCCCGATGCGTTTCAGACGAGCGCCGCGCGAAGCGGGGCACAGTCGCGCCGCTCCAGCCATTCGGAGTCGGAGAACGAAGTCACAGGGGGATTCCCGTCTAAAAGGCCCGCCTGGGTGGATGAAGACGATGAAGCCGAGGAAAGGTGCGCGCAGGGCACGCGGCGGCGGTCGGCCGCGTCGGAGCGGCTGCGGACTGCTTCCACTGCAATGAGTTGTGCGGCTGTTGTGTTCTTGCTCTAGGGTTGACATGACCCACAGATACAGGAGGGAGCTGATGAAAAGCGATGCCGAGAAGATACTTACTAAGAAAAAGCTAAAAGCAAGACTTGAAGAGCAGTAAGTTCATTGATGCTTTTGTGGTAGACTGTGCTAAGACGTCTATGGATGCACACGGCATTCTGAGTCCCTTTTGTCTTTTTCCCCCCTAACTGCTTCAGTCCTGGAGCTGTTCTTGCACTCGGAGGCACTGTTCAGTTAGTGCTTCTTACAGTGTTTATAGAATCTTTAAATCTGGAGTAATATTGTTATTTGATTTTTTTTTTTAATCGACTTAATGCTTGTTTACTAATTAGAAATTACTCCATAAAACATCTGAGGTGACGTGCTGTTTTTTAGTTGGGTGATGGAAAATGTTAATTTGATACATATGAGTGATTGAAGCATGGATAGAGTTGGATGCTGTAGTAAAAATTCAGATCTGCTGGGGTTGCCTGGCTGTGGAGTGCACTGCTTAAAGAAGTCGGAGTCGTCTTGTATGAAATGACAATGTAGCAATCTCTTGTAAGTGCCTACTGGGTAGAAAGAAATGACTTTGTTAAACAAGGTGTTCCTTTCTTCTCTCCCCTTCCTCTTCTCTTGCTAGATTTCAGCGAGCTATGGGAGGAGTTCCTGCATGGGCTGATAGAGAAAGCAGGAGGAAATCCAAGCAAGCTGCAAGTGATAGTAAAGAAACCTTTTACTGCTCTAATGCGATTTGCTGTGCTTGTCTATTCAACTTGTGGAAAAAAGACTTGTTTTGGGGGTTTGATGAGTCTTTGTGTGAAAAAAGCTGGATGGTCAGCTTTATTCTTTCTTTTGGTGTGGTTTTTTTTTTCTTATCATTGTTCCTGTAGGGAGTTCATTGAGCTCCCTATTCCAGTGTGCTCTGTTTTTAATTAGGTGGCAGCGATGAAGATGACGATCTGCTGTGCAGAACTGGCAATTTCATATCAAGCTCAGAATCCCTACCAAGGGGTATTTTGGAGGTAAAGGGAAGCCTGTAATTGCACCTTAGTTTGGTCTGTGAACGTGCTTTGATTTCATTATTGCTGTTCATGCAGTAAAATGAGCTCTTACATGAATGTCTGTTCCTGTAATTGTAACGTTTAGATATTAATGCTTTAGAGAAAGTGGGTAGTTCATGTTATAAGGCATGAAACAAATAGAGATGTATTGACAAAGGAATTATTTAATGTACTCTTAAATAGCACTTTGGAGTAGGATTTCAGTCTCTGGGGGGAAGATGAAGTTCTCCCATGCCTGGGTGATGAAGTGGTTCTTGAAGGGAGCCCTCAGATGAGTGTTTCTTACAGTACCTCCTTTACAGCTATTTCAGATGAGCAGGAGTGCAAGTAGTCTCAGCTAGCCTTCCTTCTGACTTCAACAGGCTGACCAGTTTTATGCCTACCCTGCTGTACTGAAGCAACTTAGCAAACTTATTTTGTTTGTCCTGCTGGTGTCAAACTGTTGAAAAGTCATTGTAGGCATCAGCATAACTAAATGTGTAACCTGTTATTTTGTTCTTTTTGCTTGATCTGTGTTGTAGATGAAGAGCTGCTTGCCTGCTAATCAGGAACGTCTTGCTGATGGAAAACTGTCAACTGTGCAGTTCCATCCATCTGCTCAAGTTGTTCTGACTGCTGGCCGCGATCGATCAGTGTCACTCTTTCAGGTGAAAAACTTTAACTCACACTATGTGAATGTGTTCTCAAATGGAATACTCCTCTGATAAATGTACTGGAAATACCTTGGCAAGATAGACTCTCTTTTCGCTGTTCCTATGACGGTTTGCACACAAGGCTTGTAATATCTATGGTTGGAATGGAATTAGCTTGGAGTTTTCTTGGAAGATTTCCCTGTCTTCATACCAACTATCTGCAAAATGTAGGCAAAGTAGTCTCATCATCTGTAGCTGAAGAGTGATAAGGAATATTGAGGTTGTGTTTCTTATTTTTAATTAGTTTGCAAACACTACATTGTGAGGAGCACTCTGCTTATGTTTACAGCTGCAATATTGCTCAGAAATCCTTGGGGGGGGTGGAACGGCTGTGTTGTAGGAGGAAGTTTCATATCCTCAGATACTTCTTTTGTGTTCCTGTGAAGACTGCAGAGCCCAGCTCTATGAGGAGTTTGATGTGGCCTAGTATGAGTGAAGTGGTCAAAGGCACAAGCTGTGTGACATCTGTGAGGCTGCAGGAACAGCATATTAGAAATTATAGTTTATTTGAATAAAGCATGGGCAAGACAGTAAGGAGAAGGGGTTTGAAATATGTCCAGAAAGTCTGGGAGAGCCTCATTTACAGGGTGAGGGGTGAGAGGTGGACTGTTTGTAGATTGGGAAGGGAGAGAAAATGCTTTTAGCTGGGTACACTTTTTACTGTCTCTCTTGTACTGTTGAGTCAGTAAGAATTTTTCTGTGTAAAAATATTTGATATGTTCATTAATGTTATAATCTTTTAATTTTTATTTTAAGGTTGACGGCATAAGGAATCCAAAAATACAGAGCATCTATTTAGAGAGTTTTCCAATCTATAAAGCTCGTTTCAGTGCTGATGGAGAGCAGGTTATAGCCACTGGTACTCACCATAAAGTCTTCTATGTGTATGACATGATGGGTGGAAGTATTATCCCTGTACACCAAGTAAGAGGTAAGTTAGTGATCTAAATGTCTCAGTGCATTTAAAGCTGTCCAAAGTAGCAAGTGCACATGGGTTTGCTTTAAAGGAAATGAGTTCTTGGAAGTAGTGATGTCTATTGTTTTACTATGGTGTGTTCTAGTTTCTTGTGTATAACCCCAACTTCGTGTAATGTCTAACCCATAATGTTATCTTTTAGTATATTACAAAAGTGAAAAGGTGGAGTCTGGTCTTCCTTATGTTCATTGTAGGCCTGAAGTTCAGGCAAGTGAGTAAATCTCACCAAGATTAAGTTCTGTATCACTTATTTTAAAGGAATGGAGGAAAAATTTGTCAAAAACTTTGAAGTCTCTCCAGATGGATTGTTTATGCTTCTCACTGGAACTTCAGGATATCTCCACTTGCTGTCAATGAAGGTAGCTTTTTCCATAATTCATGTAGTACCAAGGAACTGAAACCCTTTTCCTTTTGAATCT